TTTGGGAAATAAACTTTTAAGAGCTTGTGATGGAAAGAAAATTTATTGAAAGCGTAGTGACTGCCTGATTTATTTAAAGTTCTTAGTTAGATTCTTCTATATAAGAATTTACACTTTTCGATATTTTAGGGAAATAGTTCTCATAATTTGGAATTCATAAATCAGGTTATTGAGTAAATTTCTATAGAATAGAAGAAATATCTGAATTGGATATCATTACGTAGACACATTACATTACAATTCTGGCGTCCTGAACAGATTTTAAGCAACCTCTAAGTTTTTTTTAATTCGGTTTTAAATTTTGAAAGATGTGTTCAATAAAGCAGTGAAATTATTGTATACATGTATGCGCATGTTATTATTTTTATTAAGCTTATTTCGAGTTTGAATTTCACTAATTGGTAGTAACAAAGTACTGACATATTTTTATTCTACACCATATAGATTACTAGCTGTGCCCGGGATTCACCCGCGTTAAATTTTAATTTAAAATATATGTGTAAAAATATGTGTTATTCTGATGCATAAGCTATATTATTTTAAAGTTTCATGAAAATCGGTCAGTAGTTGTTGCGTGAAAAAGTAATAAACATCCATATTCACAAATTTTCGCGTTTTAATATTATTAAGACTATTCAATATTGAATGTATACTATTGATGTAATGTTGTAGTTCTGATAGCGTTCACTTTTATTAATAGAACTACAACATTCCCTCCGCAGCGTGTTCCACTAAATTAATTTTCTGTCAATATCTCTGTCAACATCAGGTAATAGTTGTGGTGGTCTCAGAGCATCAGTGCGACACTGAATTACCTAAATCCTCAAGTAAACCGATTAGTTGCACGACTCGAGTGATCATTGCAAACTGTACCTAATGCTAGATCTATACAGTTCAAATTACATAGTGAGAAGAGTCATAGTAGAGCTGGACACCAGCGCAGCTCAACTGTTACACGTCTTGTTTTTCGAGTGGGTCTCTACCTTCTATCTAAGTTGAGATCTGTCTCTGTCCATACTTTGCGAATTCATACATTAAGCGCACATCTACACTATTATAAAGCTTGTTTATACTTTTATACTACGATGATTACAATCTAACATTATCTCCACCTGATGGTGAATGGTTTTGCCTATAGAGTCCTAAAATACCAGGAGTTACGTCCGCGGTGCCGACACCTCAGCCTTAAGGAACCTCAACTATCGCTGTCTGACTGCAGTCACTTCCTTCCCAATACATTCGTTTTGCATTGCTTGACGTTGTTAGTTTTTGTAATATATATTTTGGATAGATAATATATGTCATAATAATATAAACGACAACACGAGATTAGTGTTAATACTGTACGTGCCTCATATTTAATTAATTTTATTGCACGTTTATATTGACTGCGCTGTAATCTTAATTAAGTATAATTCCTCTGCATGCTCCTATATTATATCAACAATTTACAAATTACACAAAGGATTTATACTATTTTATTCATTTCTGCTAACTTTAGCAAGTAATATTCAGTGAAGAAATAGAAATAGAAATATTATTTATTTGAATAAAGTCATTACAAGCGCTTTTGAATATTGATTATACCACTCATTCGGAACGCAGATTCATCACAATAAAAATAGGCAAAAAACTTGTGTGTTGCTCTTTTGAATAGATGTTTTTTTTATATAAATAATTACAGTATAACAAGTAAAGGGCATGATAATCAACATAGAATACGCTACGCACTCATTATTAGTGCAATCAGATAATATTGTCATGGATTTTAAGTTTTTAATTTTTAATTTAATTTTATAGTAAGCTTTTTTACAAAGGAAGTGTTTTATATGACATTAAAAATTTTTCAGGCAGATTTATGATTCTATATTTGATCACATCATACAAAACAAAATACATTTCAACCGGCGATTTTTTATTCTTGATGTAAACAAATACAGATATCACTTGAATTAATACTTCAAAGGACGTTTAAGTATAGATTATTATTGATTGAGATAAGATATATTTATGCATACCGAGATATAGAATTATAGAGGCTTACTTTATAATTGCTGTAGAAGAAAATTAAACTATAAATTATTTGCAATAATTATGGGACCCTGTAGAGGGATTTAATTTAAGCTTATCTATGGTAAATACAAGTTTGTAGAGTCTGTGAGTTTCGAGTTACTGAAGGAAATGTTGGGAACAGAGAGGATTATCAGTTATCGCGTATCGACGTCTGTATTACATCATGTTATTATAATATCAATCACAATCAAAACAAAGATAATATCGGGCGATGCAAAGAAATATTAATCATATTTACGTAGTAACGTCCGGAAATATTTAGGTAGATCATATGGAAAAAAGTGTATTATAGAAAAATACTTGATTACAAAGACAGTGTTAGGTTAATAATGTGTAAGCTAACCCAATACCAAGTATGTTACGGACTCAAACCCCCTAGGTCCGTACAATATACCTACTTGTAGTTGCACAATCGGTGTGGATACAGCGATGGTTCTTGGAAAGTATGTCCCAATACTACAACAGTGGGGGGCAGGGTATTGCTAGCAATGTACCATGTCAGGTTGACCTCCACGCGGTTCCCCTTGGAAACCATTGTGACAAATTCTGGGTGAATTTGTCACAATGATAACTGAACTGACCTCATGCTCATCTTATCATCTTCCACCCACGCATCCTCCCGGCCACCTTCGTGATATCGTCGGTCCATCTTGCAGGAGAGCGCCCGAATAATGTGATTGGATAATTACATAATTAACTGTTATATATTTAATTTATAATAGTTAATTATGTAATTAACTATTATAAATTAAAACAAATCAGTACACATTCAAGTCAATATTAGACATTTATTATACCTTATTTATTATTATTATTATTAGCAAAAATATTTAAATTGATGACGAAAATAATATATCAAGGAATGTAGGTGTATATAATAAAGTAGATTTATATATTACAGATAAGATTATTGTATGGCTACTAAGCTTATTATTTATCAAAATTAACTTAAAATTTATATTTCACAAAGTGGAAAATGAAATTATAAATTCATTGATATTATTATGGGCTCTTGTAGAGGGATATTACAGAAGCTTATCTATGGTAAATACAAGCCTGTAGAATTTGTGAGTTTCGAGTTATTGAAGGAAATGTTGGGAACAGAGAGGATTATCAGTTATCGCGTATCGACGTCTGTACATCATGTTATTATAATATCTATCGCAATCAAAACAAAGATAAGATCGGGCGATGCAAAAACAGTATTTGGTAACGTGCCTACATTTAATACGATAATCTTTTAATGAAATGGATTCGTGACTCGAGATTATGATTATATGTACAAGTTAAGAATTTGAATAACTCAAAGGCCTCAGTATATATGTATGGCCTGTGCCAAAGATGATGCATAACAGAAGAGTGACGGCAGCCGGGGGCAGTGGAAGAGGAACATCTCGATACTTAAAATACTTCCTCCTTTTGCTTGTAGATCTGATCTCTTTCGATCATAGTTCACTTATGGTGGTAACATTAAGTAATTAGTAATTTCACTCTAAGTAGAACTAGGAGTAGTGTATGTAGGCGTACGAACAGCGACCCACGCGCACGCTGACACTGTTCTTGGAACTATCTCATTATTTTCACTATGAACTAATTACTATTTATTACTAGCTGTATCCGCGACTCCGCGGAATTTAACTTTATTTTTCTAAAATAAAACAAGCCTAAGTTACTGCATATTACATCAGCTACCTGCCAATAAAATTCTCGTCAAAATCAGTTCAGTCATTTCAGAGATGTACTGTTTATATTATATATTTATATGCATGTAGTAAAAAACGATTATTTCAATATTACAAACAGACACTCCTATTTTATTTATATGTATAGATTATTGATGGGTTTAGGCCGTTGTCAGGTGCTAAGATCTGTAACACTGCGACCTGTGTACTTGTATCGTGCTCGCCCTTATTCAAAGTTCGCTGCCTAGTAGTAGTAGGGACCCGTAAGGGACAAGAATTGTATGTGAACTAATACGATTACAACAATATTCATAAAAACCCTATCTGATAACTATACGACCACACTAAATCTATAATACATTTTATTGGTGAAATAAACGTTTTTCAATATCTATTACCATTACTTATAGTATTAATTGAATTACATGAATGTATTTTTAACTGGTATCTACCTGTACGTGTACTTTTATTACACACATAATGCAAACAAACAGCTATATTCATGCAATTCATTTACATACATATTATGGACTCTAGTTTCTTAACGCTTATAGTTGACTCCTATTATTTAATTCAAATTATATAATTTGGTTATATATTTATAAAAGAGAGGACGAATTTAATCTTCGCAATGAACGGAACTGACATCTAACTTAGGGCATGTACTAATTCCTGCTGAATGTACGCGACTCGCATACTCTGTCACATAAGCAATAAATTGAAATTCTTAGTTATGCGCATCCATCATTTTAGTAGAGAATTATAAGACTATATTTATTATATTATATACTAGCTGTGCCCGCGGTTTCACTCGCGTGAAATTTATAGTCTATATATTATTCTGATGTATAAGCTATATTACTGTATAGATCATCAAAATCCGTTCAGTACTTTTAGCGTGAAAGAATAACAAACATCCATCCATACTCACAAACTTTCGCGTTTGTTATATTCATAATAATAAGATTTCGGTTTCACTCATATGTTGATTATAGATGTTATAATCATAGGGGATTATAACAGTAACAGAATCAACATACAGAAATTTACATATGGTAATTTAATAACTCAAACTTAGAGACTTATATATTACTAGATCAGGTATTAGAATTTGCTTATAATTAACCTGTAATAACTTTGTTTCAGACAATCCGGTGTGCGGTGTGAGCGCGCTAGTGATGTGACAGTGTTAACGTTTAGTAGTGATGTGATGTCGCGGTGGCAGTGAGTTAGTGAGTGAGTGAGTGAGTGAGCGCGGGTGCGGTGGCGGCGAGCGATGCAGTGAGCGGGGCCTGCGGGGCCCGGCGCCGGCGCCGACATGGCGGACGACAACACCATCATAGAGGGTACCGTTAAGTTCAGGGATGGGAAAAAGGTACGTAACCAATTAATGTGCTTACCAATTATTATTATTTGTAATGTTTATATTGGAAAATGGACTAACCAAGAAGAAACATAATAAATCTTTATTACGAGTAAAACTAAACTTAAGATAAGCACTTTTTGTTACTCCACTCGGTAGGCAGATTCAACAAACGGTACCAAGAAATTCGGCAATTGCTCTTTTAATCAATTTTATGTAACTTTACAGTTTTACGAATTTGTGCGTATACAATCACCAAATAAAATTCATAAGAGTTCATAGGTATATATTGAACATACAGCTAGTTATGTAAAGAAACAAGTTTCTTAACTCCGAAATAAGATAGCGACGGTATATTAAATAATTAATGACTGAAAAACAAATTAATTTTTATATAAAGCTTATCGTATTACAATCTGTATCTTTTCATATTTATCCAGCAATAGTTACTATACAATATTATCTATTATAATATTATCTAAATAGGTACTAAATCTAGCAATACATATATACCGATATATGAATGAACAATACAATATTGTAAATGTACAATATTAGAGCGTACTTTAATAAGTAGCTACACTTTTAGGGTTGCATATCTAATAGGTCCCAATGTAGAGCGAGTGGAGCGTTACATATTAACAACTAATAGGTAATGCTGTGCATTCATTACACCACACAGCTTCCAGCATACACGACTCAAATATAAGTGACCTGTTCTAATATAATGAGAGAATACATTATGAAATTATAAATCCTGCTTTACGTATCAAAATCGTCATAAAAAGCGCACCTCCGTTCACATTTATACTCAACTGGTCTGAAATATTAATTTCAGTGTAATAGTTAGTAGTACGTACATGTAAATAAAACGGGAACTAGTTGTTCAATGTCACAAGTTAATATAGTATATTCAGATACTATGAAACATTCTCGAGCATTCCAACTAAGGCACGCACCACATTTACCTTACCAAAGTAACGATATTTCATCAGATATTTTATTATAAATACACTTTTACGAAGATAAACTATATTGGATACATCAACAGTCTTATAAGGGAAGTCTGTGTTAAAATATTTCATACTAGTTATACCCGCTACTTCGTCCGCGTCCGCTACCTTGACCAAATAATGAAAACATATTTATCATATATAACCCAATAAAAGCCAAATAAAAAAGTTTCATCGTTCTAGCTTCTAAAATGACGATATTCATACAGAATTCCATACAACTCAATCAGCAACCTTAAAATAAGTTTCAAGTTTCTCGATTTAAAAATGACGATATTTCCATACAACCTTTCATCCCCCTTACAACCGTTTTTCATATTAAAAAGTCACCTATGTCCTTACTTAGGGTCTGGATTATCAGCTTACCAAAAGACAGAGTTACTTTCGCATATATCTACATAAAGATAGTCATAAGTAAGGATATTCATGCATATTATATGTATATACATGTTACATAAGTACAGAATCAAGGGCTTTAGAGTTTATTTTAAATTTGTAATTTAGTAATGTAGTTTTATCATATATATATATATATATGAAGATTTAAATTCCTATTATACTTACCTCCTACGTAATTAATGAATGTAGATTATTATTTCTATAAATACACATTAAAACAAACATAGAGATCGAGTATGTAACACATACTCCTACCTACGTACATAAGAGTAATAAACATGTAGTTACATGTTTAAAACATGTGCTGCCTAATTTAATATTCAAATATAATAATATTATTACATCTATAAAATATAGTCTTTAAAGCTGGATATTTAAATCTATTTTCAATAACAAACTGATAAGAAATTTATATTTACCATTTCTAAATTTCCCTATGATATAATTTTGCCTGAATATAACATGAAATGTTTGAATATTAATGTGGGTATAATATATGATATAAAAAATTCAGAACACCTGAAGGGTCAAAACGAGGGTTCGTAGTCGATGAAAGCATAGGCTTGTTATAAAGTCAAATAGAATGAATACCTACACTGAATTCTGTGGGACGGATCCGATCTGTGAGCGGACTGGTTGTTAGATCAATCCTGGGACAGAACAATTAAACCAAGCGGTAGGACGAGTCGATACTGTATTGTAGTGAAACCGGATCAAATTACTGAATGAAACACAATCCATTATTGTAGTGATCACAGATTCTATTCTTGCAAGATATTTATTATTACATAACACTACAGATTTCTTCCAACCAGGTATTATTTTGCGAAAGTCCATTTAATTATTTAATGGATTTGTATAACTTTGTTTAATTCCGCTATCATTAGCTTGTGTGTAACCACAAATGTTCAGTGCGGAATTATCGAAGCGTGTCCCAGTTTGGTCGCCGAACAGTCAACACTAGGCTTCCAAGCTATATCTGAACTCTATTCATTGCCTAATGATGCCTCGTTCAGAGGTGAAACAGGTGTCGCGATATGGGTGTAGTAATTGTTAACCAATAGAGGTCGTAACGCCTCCAGTAGCGGTGGTCAGGTTCATTAATTAAATATTTGTGTTACACACATGCTAATGGCAGAGGAATTAAACAAAATAATATAAATCAATTAAATAAAATTACACCACGTCTGTCTGACTGTATGAGTCAGTTACATCTGCTATCGTTAGATAGTATTGTTAGATTAATGAGTTATTAAAAATGGTGTCATAATATTTCGCACAAAACTGAAATATATAGTTAATATATAATATGCTAGTTGCTTTAATTATTTAATGTTAATTAACAATTAAGTTAGGTTAAATTAAGGTTAACCTTAATTGAAAACTGGCTATCCTCGGAATTTAGTGTATACGCTTAATGTATCTGATACCACCGAAATTTATTACTTTGTAATTCGTCAGCGCCATCTTTTGTCAAAAAGTAACACTGCGGTTCATATTGAGATAACTAGTATTAATCAAAATAGTCAACTGTTCGACAAAAGATAACAAATAGTGTTCATTTGGGTGATAATAATAATCTTTTCATAGTTTATGATGACCTTTGTTTCACGTATTATACTACTAAAATTACATCAACTTCAGTTCTAATAATGTTGCATATTTTGTCGTCGTTTCATTTAATTTTATTTATTCGTAACAATTTACATTGTTTTGAATTATTAGATTGAATTGTTTTACATAATATCATTACCTAGTATAAAACAAAGTCGCTGTCGCTGTCTGTCCGCCACTATGTATGCTTAAATCTTTATAACTACGCAACGGATTATGAAGCGGTTTTTTTAATAGATAGAGTGATTCAAGAGGAGGGTTTATATATATATAATACACACACCCGTGCGAAGCCGGGGCGAGTAACTAGTAATTTATAATAAAGACACTGAAAAATGCTAATTTGATAATATTTATTTCAATATATCCACTAGTTTCATAAAATCATTAAATGTATTAAATTCATTCCTGTATAATAAAATTTTGAAATCCATAGGCCATACATATTATAATATTACATATAAATGTGGATGGCTTTATGAGCAGAGAAAGACTGAAAAAGAGATGGATGGACTGTGTGAAAGATGGTATAGTAAAAAAGGGAGTGAATAAGGGATGACTGCGAAGAGGGATGAATGGGAGAGAAAAACATATTAAACCGGTTCTAATGAATGGGATATGGACGAAGCAGACGATGAGGCAACTTATCTGGACTGGTAGACTCTTCGTACACAAGGCTCAAATCTTTGATACTCTATGATCTTAGTCTCCAGGCGACTAGCGCCATATAAATCCATTGAGATTCGTACACGACGCGACTCATGTCTGTCTGGAGACTAAAATCGCAGAGTATCAAAGATTTAGCCTTGAGTACGAAGGGCCTTAATGTGAACTATCACCACCTCCAGTGTAGGTGACAGCTGACTCACTCTTTTTGATAGTTAGATATATAAATGCTTTATTCAACAATTACAAACACATATCATACATGAGATACATTCTATAAATAGAAATAAAGTTTACAAATTAAAAATGCGGGAATATAAATATAACAAATTAAAAAAAAATATATTTATTTTTCATTTAGTGGTTGTACATTTATTGGTGTGTATTCTGTCAGTACATTATATAGTACAATACTTGCATGTACTGATATGTTTGTGTTTTTGTCAACAGTGGAAGTCGCGGTGGTGCGTGATGCGCAAGCTGTCGCCGGTGGCAGGTGAGTTGGTACTCACTCACTAACTAATCATTATCAGGGTTGTCTACCGGCACCTATCAGTAATTATCAGTATCGGTTATTAATTTCAGATATCCAGAGCTAATTAAAACAGCGCTATATTTCGTACTTGTTTGATTGCTATCGCTAATACAACACTTTGTGATATCTTTTGTTATCTGTCAGATAACATATGTGCGCCTGTTTATATAGTTTATTGGAATAACGATTCTATAGGTTACATATTAGATCATATATTACTATGATAATTGTAATCAGCGCAATTTAAATTTCGTGGTACCTAAATAAATTAGAGATTGGCGTATGCTAATTGAGTTAATACAATGATAATGAACACAAAGAATATTTACCAAAACGTATTCAAACTAAATATTATAAATTATACAATTAAATTATATTATTTATTATACAGAATAATTTCACAATTCAGTTCTATTTTGAAAAGGATGTTTAAGTAAACATCCCACTAACTGATCATCATAAATACACAGGTACACGTCACAAAGCGCCTTCTGTGATAGTGGCGCCAAATAAAGCAGTGACTTTGTAATGGGTTGCTTTTTTAAGCAAATTAAACCCGCGACCAACGAGTAACATAGTGTGTTACACAGCTGCAACGCTGGTAATCTTGGCATCATCAATTGAAGGCCTCGATGGTCTACTCGTTTACCGCAAGGCCTTACTTCCGTTGGTCGCGGGATCGATTTCTCTCACGTACAGATTTATATTTATAAGTATGATTGTTTGTATCGGCCCCGGTGATGTTTATGTATTTACAAACAAAAAGTATTTATATCAGTTGTCCAGTGCTATACAAGCTCTGCTTAGCTTTGGACTAGATGGCGCTATGTGAGATATATCAAATATATCCTGAGAATATTATTATTGACGCAATGAGTGTGTGTACTGTATTGTCAACATGTCACAGACATGTGACGTAGTGTGACGTGTCTGACGTGGATGCTGTGACAGACACATTGATAATAAAGCTGCGAGTGTGATCATCGATACAATCGTGATTGATTCTTCCTGTTCACGGACGGTATCGTTATTGTCATAGATAGTGATCTGTGCACGCATATCAACAACACGCGTCCGCAGATAGTGCACGAGTATGACGAGAGATGACACTGATACTATAGATAATGTCAACATCTAATAAACTGTAGCTCTTGACCAATATTACAAAGAGAGAGAGAGAGAGAGCGAATGTTTATGTAAGTAAAGTGTATATGAAAATATATATGATACTTACATAAAAAAATGCATGTAGTGAATAACTGGTAATTTCAAATTACATACAGTTTTCTATAACTTCAGTTTTATGTACGTATACAAATAAATAATATTGAAATATCTTTAATTCCAAATTAACAGCTTTATATAGTAAGGCTCCAATTTCATTTTAGAAAATTAGATGAAGAAGTGAAAATTCAAAAATTCAAAATATCTTTATTCAGTAGATTGTAGGTCTATTACAGACTCTTGTGATATGTCATCAGAAAAAATCACATTCAATTCAATTCAAAATATTTCGATATTTCGAATTGAATTGAATGTGATTTTTTCTGGATGTTTTCTATATACATATTATGTATGTTTTTAAAAAATGAATTTAGTTTGGGACTAGATGGCGCTGTGTGAATTGTTCTGAGATATTATCATTATTATATATACGATATCGTTGTCTAGTGATAAGTGGCGGCACGCGGCTTTCGAGGGTGCGAGGGTGCGTGGGGCGAAACGGGGAAAGGGTGATCGGTACGCGGGGCACGTCTGCTCCCATGGGGACAGAACTCTCGTTACAGTACTGCACAGGTACCCTCGATATTGGACTCTTGTTTTGAATAAATCAATTCCTGGTGACATACGTATACATATATATATATTTATATATACGCAAGCAACTTATATCAATAAAAGGGGTACATAAATTATATAGTAGTAAGTGCAGTGTCAGTTATATTTTCATTATATTCATTATAATTCTGGTATAATATCAATATATCTGGTACAAGACCACTAAAACCAGAATTATAATGAAAATAAAAAAAGTACTAAGTAACGCTGCAGACGTTGTTTGGACATATAAATTAATATCGCTATGAAAAAGTAGGGGTTGGTGATAGAAGGGTCAAAATTTCGGGGTGTATGTATTTTTTAATGCCACATAATAAAAAAAAATATGTTGTGACGAAAATATTTAACAAAATTTTTTGGGATGAGTCACCTTTAACACTTATGGGTCAAAAAATTAGTTATAAACCTATTCTCAGACCTACTGAATATGCATATAAAATTTCATCAAAATCGGTTAAGTCGTTTCGGAGGAATATCAACCTAATAATAATATATAAAATTCTAGTTTAGCATTTTATATATTAGACTGCCTACTCGCCCCGGCTTCGCACGGGTGTACATATGTACATATATAAACCTTCCTTTCAGATCACTCTATCTATTAAACCGCTTCAAAATCCGTTGCGTAGTTTTAAAGTTTGAAGCACACCTAGGGACAGACAGACAGCGACAACGACTGTTTTATACTATGTAATATATTAGTGCCATTGACCGGTGTGGGTGGTAACTGGTAACACTTTGCAGTTCAGTCAATGCGACCACATACGCCACGCTGTTTATTCACCACGCTACCAACTGTTGCATGGTACGACTTGTATTTAATTATTACACCTATTAACAATATATTATTATTATTTAACGGCCTCGCTGCTCTAGTGGTTTAGCACGCCGCCTTACTAGCCGCGGGTTCGATTCCTTGCACGGCACAAACATTTGTATTCATGAATATGGTTGTTTGTATCGGTCTGGGTGTTTTATATGTATAATATGAATGTATTTACGAAAAAGAATATATATCTATGTATTTGTATCAGTTACCTATCAATAACACAAGCTGTAGCTTAACTTGGGACTAGATGGCGCTGTGTGGATTATACAGAGATATTATGATTACAATTTTTATTAATAAACCTAACAATTACATACATTAATACATTACAACACTTAGATACATATTAGATATTTACAATAAAAAATATTATTTTTAACATCATTACAATTATTATTACTTTATATTTATTTATAATTGAAATAATCATCCAGAGAGTAAACACAGTGTGCTAAAAGCCATTTGGTCAATTTATTTTTAAAATTATGTCCTGTCAATTATATCAAATCTGCGGGTAAACTGTTAAATATTTTGATGCCATGTAAAATACATTTTTTTTAAATAGTAACTCTATTAAATTTTGTTTCGTAAGTTTTTAAATAGTAAATCTTATTAGTTACTTTTGGGCAATATTAACAATTTTTATCTAGATGTAGTAACAACAAAATAAAACATATAGATAACATATTTGTGGGATAACAAGGTAAGCGTTGGTGGCATGCAAATGTGGATGTAACTAAGACGTTTGTTGGACAGCGTGTTTAGTGTGGGACGTCGGACGTCGGACGTCGGACGGTCAATGAGACAGTGACTTGTGTGGTGGCTGCCATCATTAATTACCAAGCGAGTGCAATCGCTAATTGAAACGGAAATTATACGGACCGCAACCACGCACCGCTGCTTTCCCGGGACCACCGACCACCGACCACCACGCGACCACGCCACCACGCTCCTAATGACCGCTCACCACCTATTATTTAAACATATTAATTGTACCGTTCACAGCATAAAGTTTGATGCACTCTGATAATTTGCATTTAAAATTATGTTTACGCCAATAACGGACTGGAGCGCATTTACTAGTGACGCGCGCGGCGCGGCATGCGAAATTTTTTTGGTAACTGTCCTTTTACATTTCGTTAATTTTAATAATTTTAATAATATATGCTGAACTTATAAAATACTCCGTTGAGTATTTTTTTTAATTCTGCATATATCGTCAATCGTTAGCTGTAAAGTGCAGTACAAGCGGTTGCTATCATTACATAGTACCAGCAACGATGCTGACTGAATAAAACTTTTCACTCTTAGCTTGCTTTTTGAGCTTATAATAAACGTAACATTTGGGCAGGTGGCAGGCAAATTAATGATTTATAACAGGGCTATATTGGGTTAAACATAAACAGCAGGGAGAGTCTGATATATTTCTTATACTATCGAAAAGTTTTCTATAACCGTATAAAAATCACTACTAGTTAAGACGAGTACGTAATAGAAGCAAATCTCCGAGTATATACAACATGACATCTGCAGCAGACGTTAAACTCGACGACGCTTCCAGTTAATGACAGATGCGGTGGTGGTAGGTGGTGAACTGGTGGCGCGGCGTGTGGTCTACCGGGTGTTAGTTCCGGCCGCGGGACAGTGTCGTCCGAGCGGCGCCGCGTGTCGCACCAACTATACTCGTATGCATTGTAGACTGCGAGCACATGTGCGACAATCAAACGGCGCCTTTACGAGCCACACTCCAAATCACATAAACCACTTCCTGACTGTAAATTGTAGAAATATACAAAACTGTAATGGAAAGTTTACAAAACACTCGCCGACTATGACTTAGTATATTGTGGTGCGGAACTGAATTAACGTAATGTATATAAATTAAATGTATGAAAATAAAATACATCCATATCCTTATAAAAACCATCTAAAATATTCCGAAGATATTTGGATGATTTTAGTATGGGAAGATATCGATATTAATCAGATTTACATTACAAGTTTATCCATTACAAACGAACAAAAAAAATATTAAAAGAATATTTCTTAATGTTTCTTAAAAAAAATTTTAAAAAATTTTTCGTTTGCATATCTGATGAGTAGTTTATATAAAGTTATCATAATTAAACAATCATGTCACGCATCTAAGACAATAACTAACTCAAATATTTCAAATTGTTGGAGTTGAATTTTAAAATTAAAACTTTAGAGTGGATTTTAATAATAATATTTAATTTTTGAGTACTTCCTGTAATGTTACCTACATTACAGGAAGTACTCAAAAATTAAACTGGAGATGCGAAATGAATGCCAAAAAAGGGTTGTATGGGGTTGAAAGGGGAGATGAAAGGTTTTATGAAAGTATTGCCATTTTTAAAGCTATAAGTTTGAAACTTATTTTTTAGACTATTACACGGACAAAGTCGCAAAAAACATATATTTACACTACATTCTGTTTGTATTGAATTCAAGCGGGGTCCTGGTAACAATGTATTACACAACTATAACGACATTCCGTGATAGCAAAAAAATGGTTCCACCAATCGCCAGGAATTCGAGGTGATACAATAAAACGTTCGCTTCAGTTCAACAGAAAGAAAATACAATATTTCTTGTAAGTCACATTATATCACTCACGGACCGATGGGCAGATACTGCAAATAGAAGGTGTTGCCGCGGAGAGAGCTGGGAATGTTCATTTTCTGTTGAAATGATCTTTGGAATCCCATATTTTATATAAAGGTCCCTATTTTCACATTACGATAACGGCACATACCACAGTCTATATAATGATTAACGTTCGCACATGAAAAAAGCTTTAACGCAAACGTTAGTAAAGTAAAATCGTTGCGTTAGAGCTTTTTTCGTCTGAAGCGCACCATTGTAGCTTTTATACATTTTTACATATAACTAGCTATCCCGGTAAATGTTGTTTTGCGATATAAATTAATAACGCTATAAAATATAGAGGTTGGTGATAGAAGGGTGAAAATTTAGGGTTGTATGTATTTTTAATGATGATAAATATGAATGTGGATGGATGTAAAGGGAGGTGACGCCCTAAGATAAGATGGATGGATTGTGTGACAGATGATATGAATAAAAGAAGAGTATGTTCAGATATGACGACCGATAGAGAGCAGTGGAAGAGAATGACATACTGCGCCGACCACAAATAATGGGATAAAGGCAAGGCAATGATGATGATAAAGAAATATAAATAAAAAAAATTGCCCAAAAATGAAAAAATAATGTTAGGGGTGGACAACCCTTATCACTTAAGGGTATGAAAAATAGATAGTAGCTGATTCTCAGACCTACTGAATATGCATATAAAATTTCATAAAAATCGATCAAGCCGTTTGGGATGAGTATGGTAACTAACATTATGACACGAGAATTTTATATATAAGATTATAAAACAACGAACTCGTCCTTCTCTCTTCTCTTCCGCTTGCTGTGCCCAATAAGGTCCATAATTGATCTGCTGATTGTAAACTTAACAACTACCTACTGTCACATTATGGAATGGAATGCAGAAATAAATAAACATACAAACGTACAAACGATCAAATAAATATACCAATGAATAAATAAATCATTTTGTTAAATATATTTCGGAAGGTAAACTAGCTGATGAATATTATTTTCATCATTCATTTGAGGGCTAAGATGACATCTCAATACTCCACTTTCACTGCCATACCTTTTAAACATTACATTGCACTGAATAAAATATTTTTCTTTCTTTCTTTCTTTCTTTCTTTCTTTCTTTCTATATATTACTAGCCGTTCCCGCGACTTCGTCCGCTTGAAATTTAACTTTATTTTTCTAATTTAATAGAATTTTTCTAAAATAAAAGTAGCTTAAGTTACTCCTTATAATATCAGCTACCTGCCAAAAAAGTCTCGTCAAAATCGGTCCAGCCATTTCGGAGATTAGCTGGAACAAACAGTCCGACAGACAGACAGACAAAAATTGTAAAAAATGTTATTTTGGTGTATGTAGCGTATTTATATTATGCATGCATGTAGTAAAACGCGGTTATTTCAATGTTACAAACAGACAATCCAATTATATATATATACATATGTATAGATGTAAACATCACAAAATGAATTTTGTATGCAACATCTGAAATGTTCAATATAAATTGATTCATGCATTATAGACTAGTCCATCAGTCACTAAAGCGAGGACAAGTTTCTCCATAAGTACAAAATAAATAGCAAAAAGAATCTGCGCTCGAGGATATATGTCAAAGGATACGGGATATGGAGAAGTGTAAGTATTTGTTTGCACGGCATGACTCAATCATTGCGAGGCAATCTGAGATGTGTAATGTATCGGAATGTACGCGTACGTATCGCGGGCTCGAGACGAATCTATCGCGGTGCCGCGCCAAAAGATCCATCACGAGCGGGCGCGGAGTGGGGCCGCGTCCTCGCCGACGCGACGCTACAAACGATTCCGCAATGCTTATTTTCGACTCCATAAAATACGAAGAATGTAACGCGATCACCGACTTGAAGCCCTCGCTTTTATTACTCACGATCGATAGGTTAAACGTTACCAGCTCCGAAGCACCCCCGCCACCGGCCCCCTCCACTTTAAAGTGCAATATGTTCAGGAATTCAACAAAGTTTTATTGCTACCTACTCTTTTTGTATAGCGACCGACTAGCTCTCCACTTTTGCTTTTTATTGTTTAGATGTGGTGTGTTTTGAGTGTACTACATTTATTTTGGACAGAATGTGTTACGTTCGTTATAAAATATCAGAATGACATAAGTAATATCAATTATCTGGTTCATAGACCAAGATCAATTAATGCAAATACATCATCAGAGTAAATTTTGAAGCGTACACGGGTTTCCTCATAAGATGGGGAAACTAGTCTACCGCGGTGGCTATACGGCATTATACTATAGTATTATTCAGAGTCTTTTTCTCTTGTATTTCGTGTGATGTTTCTTTGGCTGATTCTTTCAACATCCTAGGAATCCTAAGTACAAGTGTAATCTTATATCTCTCGCTACTACTACTACCTACTTCCAATGGCAATTTAAATCTCAATAGCGCAAGGTGCCGTGTATTCCGAATGTCCCAGTAGATAGTCCCGTAGACCGAAACCTACAAATGACCGACGTGTAACTTTGATATAGATTGCGTGCACCTGCAACTGTACCGGGACTCGAAGGCGCGGTGGGGAGGCGCCGCGACCAAGGCGTCGCTCTCCCTGCAGCAGTACCTCGGCTGCGAGAGCGGCTTCACCCTCGACAAGCACTCCAACACGCTGGCGCTCGTGTGCCGCGACCTGGTCGCCATACTCGCGTTCGAGACCAGAGAACGACTCATACAGTGGCAGGTGAGGCTTCTTAATGTAGCTGTGGAATTTATTCAAATTTTTTTTATACTACTATAGTGGCAAACAAGCATACGGCCCATGGTAACCCGTTGCCGTGGCCTAAAGACCGTTGAAATTTTTTTTAGTCGTCGTCAACATATTGTTCTTGACCATCTTCTTCAATCTTCATCTAGTAAACGTACCTACATAAGTGGAATAAAAATATCTGTTACTGTACTATACAATCACTGGGTGCTGGACAATTTAAGAGAACCCTTATAACTGGCTACTATGTAAGTGGTTTTTACAACTTTCATAAATATTAACTGAAAAGGACTATCAAATTGTTTACTCTAATATTATTTTTGATGCCAAATATAAATTGTATTTGAAATTCAGATTGCATCGAAATGGAGCAATCATTGATTTCATAACATAAATTTATTTAAAAAACAACCACTGTACAATGTCAATAAATATTTATCTTATGTTATAAACATTGTTATTGATGATTGCGACTTTCACTCATTTATTTCAACGGTCTGGTGGTAGCGCTAACAGTATACCCTGGCCGGGAACCGGTGGAGGATGTTAACATGATGATGAGGTCAGGTCAGTTAGCACGACGTGACAAATTTACTAGAAATTGTCCACGGTGGTTACCGGGGTAGATCACGTTATCCTAATGTGCTACATTGTTACCAATGGGATCACTAATTCCGCAATTACTAACAATTCCCTTACCCGCTGCTACAATTAATAAGAAAAATATTTTTTATTTACTTGGAATATGCAAACAAGCTGACCGCCCACCTGATGGTGAATGGTAACACAGCACTACAGAGATGACGTTATCATATGATATCCGTGATTCCTATGCCATAGAACTAAATGATATCTTAGTTACCTCTCATCCTGTAATTTCACTGCCTAATCAAGCTGAAGTCTTCAGTACATGCACAGACGTCTTTCTACCTTTGGTGATTCGTTCAGTTTCATACGACACCCATGATACCCATGCGTTGCCATACCATAGAACTAAGTTAATAAGTTAAGTGTTATACCTCTCATCCTCCTCTCATCCATTGCGTAATGAGGCTGCAGCGAGGTACACATGCAGACGACTTTCTACAGTCTACCTAATGGTAAGTAATTTTGTAATATTGTTGTTCGGTGACTTTAAATTGAGTGACGATGCAGGTAAAAGTAAGCGGTCACCTGGGTGAACCTCGCCACTACCTGGTGCTGGTGGGAGGTGGTGGCAGCGGTGGCGGGAAGCGGCTGCCGGCCGGTCCGGCGCGACTCCACCTGCACGAGCGGCGGTTCGCGCTCACTGCTGGAGTACCGCCGCGGTTACTTGGCATCTGGGAGCTGGCGCATCTCAGGTATCCATACAAATAAATAAGATTACAGTGTCTGTGTGTAATTTCAGATTAACAGCTTTTTACTAAACGCATGTGAAAATATATATGTTACATCAAAAATTATTTAAAAAATGTTTGTGTTTATCTGTTCTTGATAATATCTGTAATCTTGATAAAATCTGATGGGAGTCGCACTCAGTTATAAGGAGCAACAGGCTAATTTTGTTCTAGAAATATTATTCAATTTAAAAAAAAAAGAAGTGATATCAAACCCATTACCATGGAAGTAAAGAGCTTCACTAAACCGTTAGACCATCGAGGTCATTAAATTATTTGTGTTTATTTATTCCTATCTTTCTGCTATGATATATAAAATACTTTTTATATAGGCGATATGGCGTGGTGGAGGGTCGCTTTTGCTTTGAGGGAGGCTCCCACTGCGGGAAAGGTGAAGGGTTGCATGTACTGATCACAGATCAGGCGCGACAGTTGGCTCAGGACTTCAACCTGGCATCACAGGGACGCTTGTCGCCTAAAAGAAGACCTTTAATTACGAAAAAAAGTGAAGGTATATTGATCAATAAGAAGATCTATTAATAAGTATATAGCTTTTCGGACTACTCTAATTCTGTTGGCCGCAGCTGACCTTTACAGCTTCACCGGATGATAGGGGGCGAGTGCAGATGGCACTCTAAATGAACGGAAGGACTTATGGAGCGGCTGAGGTCTAACTTCCGCCTGACGGATACGACTTTAGTCTGAGGGCACCGCTAGGGGTAGGTACTTTGACAACTCAGACCGTCGTAATTTCGATCCCCGTTTGAATTGGACGGGGGATCGATCGGAGGGGGAGGTGAATAGCTGGACCCGGCACCTGTTAGTGGCGGAGAGTATTGTCACACTGGTACTTATTAAGTTTGAGAGCATCGTGGCTACTACTCAGAATAATAGTTCGTGAATTCAAATCTGGCCAACACCAATTAATATTTTGTCAAATGTGTCAAATTATATTTCTTTCTCACTTACTGAATGGAGGAAACCCAGACATCGTTCCAAAAAAATATTCCGGAGATGTCGCGGTCGGTAGGTTCGCTCCCTGCCACGTTGGATTCAAATTATACCGACCAAATAGTATCCACCCTATCTGAGATGTTTTCTTAAAGTTTCGTTCAGTAAGAAAATTCTACAGAGTTTTATAAAACAATATAAAAAGGGTAACTAAAATTGGTTAAGTCATTCTTCAGTTAAGGTTATGCTTTTGCCAAATACAATAGTTCCTGGTTAATTAATTGTATGTATATATTATAAATTGTATTCTTTTTAGGTGCAGAAAGTCCTAAATCACATAAAACTTATCGGCCTGATACAAGACTCTCAGAGTTGCAAACTGTAGATCATTCTATACAGTCATTTGACCGCCTTTATGAGGACCCGTGTGTAGGAGAAGAGGCGGGAGCAATATCTCCATATTGGCCATCCGCAGAAAGAACACATTTCCAGGATATGGGATTGGGTGATACTGCATCTGTGAACGAGGCGGTGGAGGGTACTGATACAACCCAATGGAATATGGCCGGGAATGTCACGTTGGAGCGCTGCATGAGTTGCATCTCGAAACTAGGTGCCTTGTCAAGGTCATCTACTGCGGCGCTCACGCCCGGCGCTAAACATTTTACCCCCTCGTGGACTATGGAAGCAGTAAACGAAACTCCGCTTGTGGATTCTGTTACTGCTGAAAACCTACGAAGTTGTGATGAACACTCTAATATAAGTAATAAGACTGAGGAATTATGTCATTGTGATGTACCCCCCCATAGACCTCCGAAACCTACTAGATTAGATCTCAATCTCAATAAGAAACCGCCAAAGCCTCTACCCGTACAAACTTGTAGTTGCTCACATGTTGTTTGTGTGGAAGAAAATAAAACTTCTAAAGTAGGACCCTATGAAAATTATGATGTGCCAAAAGTTCCATCAGCAGAGGTAAGAATTCCATATAAATAATTTTGGCTCTTAAAATATTTAGGATATAATCTGATATTTTTAATTTAATTCAATAATTTGTCTATTCTATTAAGCAATTTCCGTACACATAAATTAAAAATTCGTATTAATTTGTTCAGTTAAAGTTAGTTTTAAACATGAATACCACTGATATTAGATTTGTTATAATATATTTTGTCTAGTTTTTTTTATTTTGTCTTGAAACACATAATTTATGGATATATGTATGCCCATTAGGTTGAAGGAGAATACTACGACACTCCAAAGAGACTAAAAGAGTGTTTAAATAGTGACCTTTTCAAAATAACAAAAAACTCTACTACGAACACATTAATACTAAAAAAACCTTGTGGCTGTTTACTAAAATTTGGAAAGAGGCCTAAAGAGCCTACTATTATAGATACAGATGAAACGTTGCAACCCGCTTCTAACTGTGCTTGTCAAAGGGTATCTGATTGGGCTAACAATTGGATCAAGCTTCCTTACTGTAGAAAAAATACAACATCAACAGATGACTTAGCTCCAAATAAAGAAAATTTAAGACCACATCTTGCCGATCGCAGTGCACTCTACGCAACAATTGATCTTTCACGCAAAACAAAAAGAAAATTAAGGCCTAGTATCTCTCATGACGAAATTACATCAGAATATCATATTAAAAATACTGATTTACGGAGAATAGAAATCGACGATGGTCCACTAGCCAATTATGAGAATTTAAGTTTCGCTTTATCTTTAGAACATTATGAAAATGCCAAAGATCTTTTAAGAAAAGCTGGCGTCACGCAATCTGAATTAAATGCCATTACTACAAATTTAAAGCCGATCAATAACCAAATGGTAAGAGGCAAAAATGTTTGCACAAAGTGCGGTCATCTTCAAATAAAACGCGATAATAACGATAATCGCGAAGCTAATAACGCTAGTGTAAGTGACGATTACCTAATGATGGAGCCCAATACGATAGACGGTAAAAAATCTGAACAAAATAAACGTTTGCCTGCCGGGTACACTCCGATGTCACCGATCGGAGGCTTCGCTTTCCACACGTTGAAACATCCTTCAAAAAGTCCCATCAACAGATTACTGGAAGAAAAATCTGCCAGCAACCCGACGCTTTGGGGATCGGAAGAGGATCGACCGACGAGTTCCGAGGGTCCCAACGGAACGGTGGTGCGGATATCTGTGGAACGCGTCGATAAAATAGAATACAGAAAACGCTCGAGCTCCGCAGATTCTTCGCGATTCCTCGAAGACGTGAAAGAGTTCGAGGGGAGCGTCGGGAGTCACGGATCTACGTCTTCGATAGAAACGCTACGAAATATTGCGCTCGAGACCGATCGGGCTTCGACGTCGTGCGATTGCGCGGCCGACAACAAACATTCGGACGCGGACAGCTCGGAGGCGTCGAAAGGTCGCGGACGAGGAGCGGCGCTCGCTAAACGCTCGTCGTCGGTCCCCGGAAAGGCGGGGGGTAATCGGGATTCGTCGAGTTCGAACGACTCCGGCGTGTCGAGTTGCTCGCTGCGTCCGGGAGCCGAACTGGCGGACTTCGAGCTGCCGCTGACGACGGCGGCCACGCGGCGCCACTACCGCAGCGCGCGGCGCGCGGCCGGCGCGCGGCTCGCCTCGCCGCCGCGCCGCTCCAAGTCCACCGACCCGCCGCGCCCGGACGGCGTGCAGTCGCTCCGGATACCGGCTAAATCTTCTTCCGCGGAAGCGGAAGTGCCCGTGTTACCTGTAAAGCAACTGAGAGGTATGTTACATGTATCCACTGTCACTTGTACTATATGACAAATAAAAATTAAAGTAAAATTAATTATTTTCATTTTGAAATATCTTGCATTAATATAGGTAATTAAAAATGAAATATATAACTAAAACTTTTACAGTATGTGAATATATTTTTTTCGTTATATTATCTTACACGTCATTTTATGGACGACAATATTATGTACCACTTTAACGATGAATACTTTTTCGTAGGCGTGGTGGACACTCACAGTACATCGAGCGGCACCTCCGACATGTCGGACTATATCGAGACGCTCTCCATCTGCTCCTCACACTCATCCACCGATACGCCCATCACAATGCGGTGAGAATGGTTATTTTTATTATCTTACAAGACCTGTTTAATTATTTCAATCATCTAACATAGCAATCAAGCCAGCGATCCATTTGAGCGCTGACCGTTGCATACACGAACGACAAAATGGAAATTACGTCATACATAAAAGAAATATCTCCTTTAAAAATTACACAGACTATCTCCAAGATTACATCGAAAATATCGCTTCTAATATCCCCCAATTTTTGTCCATAACACATTTAGATAGGGAATTTTGAAAAAGGGCGATCACAATAGATCTCGGTAGATCGCAGAGCTGCAGGTCTAAAGTACAAGGGAATAGCCCAAATTCTTCAATACAACCTATGCGTTGCCATTCCGGAGATTATGACTATGCGAACTCTGGAGTAGTCTAAGAGAACTCAGAATGTATAATCAGTCCTCTGTTGTTATATACATATATATTTTTAATGGACGATAATGAAATGGTGCACTCGCCTGTACTAACGGTTTACACTGCCGTGGTCTGGTCTACACTGCATGAGGTCAGGTCAGTTAGCTCATCTTGACAAATTCACTCGGAATTTATCACGATGGTTTCCAGGTTGTCGCGTGCAATATTACATGTCAACTTGACATGGTACATTGTCTATCGCGACTCCCCCGCGGAGTGTTGACGTAGCAGCTGTGGTGTTCACGAGTATGACGTGTGGTTTGGTGCAGGGTGGTGCGGCAGACGACCAGCACGCTGCGGCCGCGCTCCGGCAAGGAGTACCACAGCCTGCACGCGCGCCGCGCGCCCCCCGCCCCGCCCGCGCCCCCCGCCGCGCCCCACACCTAGTCTATGCCGGACCAAACACTAGCCCCAAGACTCCAGACTCCAACCGTCATCCTTCTACGCGAATACGGATGACCAGTGTCAGTCAGTTTTTCTTCATAAAAACAGAGATCGTGTAGCAGGCTGGTCCTACTATGGAAAGAAAACTTTTATATAATGAGATTATTGATATCTAGTCAGACTCGAGTCGTGTCGTTCTCGAGATTTTTGTCTTAATCGCTCTACATGGCCCTAAAATGTAAACGTCTCGTTTCCCGCCGTTTTCGGCGAGAGAACGAGACGGTCGACGTCAGCCATCGTTTCTCCCTATTAGCTGTGATCCGTCCACGAGTACACCCGACGTCGCGAGCGGCGCGAGACCCCGCGCCGTGTATCCGACATATTGTCTGTATATTTTTTAAACACTTCTCACTCGACCGTCGTTGATTTATTTATTTTAAAACGTCGAAGTTTGTATAAAATGTATATGAATTTTTACTATTTTCTAACTAATTGTAGACATTTACGAGGTATTTGTACGATACTGTCCGTATTTTGAGCGGACGTGCCAGCGACGAGTGAACTCAATAGTATTGAACGGAATCGAATTGTGTACCTCTTATTAGATGAATATAGGAACTAAACGAATTATATGACAGGTGAAATAAAAAGATAACAATCTGTATTGCTGCTAGCCTAAGATTCAGCCAAATGATGCATTTACTTCTAGTCTTCTGATGGTTTAGTCGATTTCAAAAAAAGCATTTCGTATAATCAAATATATATAAAATAAATCAAGGGGTTTACTGTGAAATTGCAAAGCCGAATGTCGGAATCCAAACAAATGCTAGTCGGTGGTTTGTATTCGTTTGAATTGGAAATGTAAAATTACTAGAATTATTAGAATATAAATTACTAGAATTATGTTCATTCTTCTAGTGAGGAGACAGCTTTCCGAATGAGCGGTAGATAAAAAGAATGATAACTATTCAAAAGAGCTTAAGTTAAGTTTATTTGAACAAATGATTTTCTATTCTATTCTATTTTATACTAACTGTTCCCGTGACTACGTCCGCGTGGAATTTAACTTTATTTTTCTAAAATAAAAGTAGCCTAAAATACTTCTTATTTTCTCAGCTACCTGTCAAAAATGGTCCAGTCAAAATGGGTCCAGCCATTTCAAATATTAGCCGGAAAAAACAGACAGAAAGACAAAAATTGTAAAAAATGTTATTTTGGTGTAAAAAACGGTTATTTCAATATTACAAACAGACACTCCAATTTTATTTACATGTATAGATTACCTTATACGCTTTGTCGATCTCAAACTATCAGTCTAGTCTAAATTATATGGAGTAGCACATATTAGTAAATATATTATAATGAAACACAATTATACGCTATTCCAAACAACATGCATTCGATCGGGCATGGTAAAACCTGGTATCTATCAAAAAAATAAACTTTTGCCTTAACATTGGATTGCAAATTACAGTAGACCCATGTCATAAAAGTATTAAAGCAAATAATTGTCTGAAAATCATAAATAAATATTTACAATTAATTAAAAATACAGCTCGACAGAACGGCGTGTGAATCTGCATCTCAGATATATTGTTTATAATTTGAATAATTATAGTCAAAGTAATTATAATTTTGAAGTTTTCTCTCCTTCCGTGGTGTAATAGTGAATACATCGGCCTGGAGAGATTGGAGGTGCAGGTTCAAACCTCGTTGGATAGTACTGTACGTAATATAAATTTCAACATAATATTTATTTACAAATAATTTATCTAAATTTGTATAGTATATGTGTGTATAGTATTATGATTTGTAAAGTTATAGTTAAATTTGGAGCAGGTACTTATAATTATTTCTTGATAAAACTTTAGAGAATACAATATTTATTTGCTCGGGATGCAAAGTTAATTTATGATGTTACCTTAAAATGTAGTAACGAGTAACGTAACTCTTGCTTAAAAATATATTTTATTCTATAGGAATCTTATCGTTCGTTGATTATATCATTTATATTTTATATTGTATAATTATCCTTATTACTGCAATAAAAATAATATTTAACATAAAAGTGATAATTTAAGTACTATTTTAAGGTCAGATAAATATAATTCCATTACTCGTAACGTGTACATATAAAAATGTGAAGGATGTAAATTTTTATTAATATTATATTATACATATAAAATGAATGAATGAATGAATGGAATGTATCGTGTACAACGACTCTGTCTCCACTTTGTTACGGTGATATTAATATTTTGATATTCGAAGTTTATCTTTTGTCTGCGTGCGTGACTGGTGATAGATGCGTAGTTGCATTATGAATCTCACTACATAGCAATAAGCAGTGCAACTAATGGTGATGTGTAATATAAATAGAATTATAAATGTACGTGCTAGGAATTTAGGAAGGGGGGTATGGTGCGTCTGCGGGCCGTGCTCCCGCGCCTCACGCGCGCACCACTAGCGCCATCTATTATCGAGCGGAGTGTAACAGTACACCGCACGTGCTCAGTGGTTGTGACGCGGCGCGTGAGGCGCGGGACGCGAGCCCGCAGCGGATTCGACAGGCCCGAAGACTGGATTTGTAAGCAGGTTGTTTAGATGTAACGCTAGCGAATGAATTTATATAAACTAATGTTAAACTTGAATTTCTGAATAAAACAAACATGAATCAGCACATATGGTATTTTATTCTGATTTCAAAATCTATCTCATCATGGATACTGTGTACAAAATTGTCAGTACTGAAAAGATCCCCTGTCTCTTTACTGGATTACGCATTCCATTTAATGGTGCATCAGCTACGCTAACGGTATACGCTGGTGGAGCACCAGTGGAGGATGATTAGAAGAGGATGAAGTCAACTCAGTAAGCTCATCGTGGCGAATTCACCAGGAATTGACACGATGATTACCAGTAGTATAACTACAAGGTAACGAGGTCAAATAAGTTTTCACGAATTGTAACGCATAGTGTCCGTGGTGCTGCTGCAGTACAGATGGACCGTCAGATTGTTTTCCTTATATTAGATTCGATAATGAATTACAAAAAAAGGAACTTAATTATGTAATACGATAAAGACGAAGATGCGCGGCCGGCGAAGTAAGCGCCAGGAACTACAAAGTGACCGATGTAGGCAGGCGGCAGTAGTCGGTAATGACGTACCCGAGAAAAAAATTCCCTCCTCGAATTTTATCGTCCCCTCAAATGACAATGAAAAATAGGCTTTTTAAAATGATGAGGCGGCGGACGAGCTTGAGGAAAACATCTTAATTAGCGGCGGAGGATTTACTTCGTGGCGCCGTAATAATCTGCATTATTTAGTGGTCGCGGGAACGTGGGCCGGCCCACTGAACGAGAGGGCATCGGCCTCTTACGACTAAGTACCGTAGGGTTTCCGCTAAATACATATTGAACAACAAATCTCAAGACAATGCTCATATACTATACATACTGTATTACAAATTAAAAATGCTAAAAATTTTCTACTTGCCATTTCAAGTTTTCCTTTCCGACCAAAGTTCAATACGTTCTAGCACTTAATCATAACTTTTAGAAGGGCATTTGTTAGTAACTACCTTCTGTCTACGATTTCTTCCGTGCAATGATTGACCAAGACAAAATCTAGCGAGTCTGCTTAACATGTCTTGTTGTTGATGTATTTTTTTTTATGTTTTGTATGTAATTTCTTCTCAAAAATGTATTTTCTTCTCTTTTATATTTTTTGTTTATTTTATTACATCGAGATTAAATTTTTAATTTATTACCTTTCTTTAATTGTCGCAGGTTATTCTTTTTGTTGCTATTAGTGGTAGTGTAGTAGGTCTGGTTGGTTGTGGACGGGGCCGCAACAAAACCACCGTACTCTTGGGAAATACCTGAAAATAAAAAAATCGAGAAGGCTGGCTAAGGAAGAAGATAATAAAACCATCATCACAATTATGAAATTGATTACTTTCACCTGACTAGTTTTAACTGTTAAGTGAAAATTCAAATTCAAATTTAAATTCATAATACCTTTATTCATGTAGGTCTTTTACAGACTCTTATGATATATCAAATCTACCGTCAGTTCGGAACGATTTCGAGATGAGAACTGACAGTAATTTAAATAATTATTGCGCCAAAGTAATTCCTTGTAGACGGACCTCGTAAAGGATTATTTTTGAGAGACAGACGATTACAAGTAGCGATTCATGAAAAATATCTCGACTTCCTCTTCCTGCTTACAGCGGATTCGTTTACGTCGCGCGGAGATTAAACGTGGACAATCATTACGCTGCTTGTTGTTTCATCATTTTATACGAATTGTGCTCATTACATAGTATAAAACAAAGTTGCTGTCGCTGTCTGTCCGTCCCTATGTATGCTTAAATCTTTAAAACTACGCAACGGATTTTGATGCGGTTTTTTAATAGATAGAGTGATTCAAGAGGAAGGTTTATATGTATAATACATGTACACCCGTGCGAAGCCGGGGTGAGTAGCTAGTATAGTATAAAATAAAGCCGCCCTCGCTTTCTGTCCGTCCCTATGTACGCTTAAATCTTTAAAACGATTTTGATGCCAATTTTTTAATAGAGTGATTCAAGAGGAAGGTTTATATATATAATACATGTACATGTAGTAGATTAATAATTGACATGTTCAGTCTTAAATGCGCTATAAATCAAATTTGATGCTGGAAGTGTCACCTCTTGAGAACACTTGAGATATTGATAACGGTTCAATATCTCTTAAACTGTACAAGTCATGCATTTTATACTGACACTAGCTTTTACCCGCGGCTTCGCTCGCGTTAATTTATCCCCTTAGGGGTGGAATTTATCAAAATCCTATCTTAGGCCTACGTCATAATAGTTTTATGCATGCAAAGTCTCAGCCGGATCGGTTTAAAATTGACAAAGTTTCATACAAACTTTCATCCCCTATTTTATCCCCTTGGGAGTAGAATTAATCAAAATCCTTTTTTAGCGGATGCCTACGTCATAACATCTACC